TGGTCTTTTTTCACAAGGACTGCTCAGCTAGCAATGCACTGAATATATTTTTCAGAATGCATTTTTCTGATACGACAGCTTTTGAGGGCTTAAAAATGTTAAAATGGGATGCAATCCAGGTAAATATAGAACTGCATGTGATTATTTGAAAGACATCTATACTGCAGTAAATCATTATTATTATGTGCACTAATTAATTAACAGATTAACAATGATCAAGGGCTGTAAACATTTTAATCTAAATGTATTTAAATATATCTTATCTAAAACACAACATACTTCCAACATTTATGCATAACATCCTTTTGTATACTAGTCTATGGCTTCTCTATGTTCAGCTATGGAAACTGCATCTTTCACCAGATTTCATGAAATAATTACAGTGCATTCAAGACAATGCTTTCAAAACTTTAGTCAATGGTCATTAGCATTTCATCAAACATGTTATCATGTCTGCCGTTGTGGCCACTTAAAAAATGCCTAAAGATGATTCTCTACTAATTTCATTGCTGTTGTTTTATCATTGTGGCACCACCCAGTCGTGTTAAGTCGACCAGGTGATATTTTCATGAGAATGCTTGATATGAACTTTAATTTGCACGTAACAATGTTGTAGTTGTAGTTGAACACCCCATGACCTTTTGCGATCCAGCATGCTGTCAGCTTGTCAGACTAGTTGAAGAAATGGTAACACAGATCACAGACATGGCCCTAAGCCCTTTACGCCTGCAGGGATATGTAGGACACCAAACATTGCTCTCTCTCTCTCTCTCTCTGCTCGGCCTTTTGAAAAGATCAGAAACAGACGTTTCACATAAATATGAATTTACTTGAAATGAGTGTCTATTATAGTGAATAGGCCTAGTTTAATAGCCCAACTAAAGATTCTGCATGTTAGATTTAGTACGATACTGGTATGAGTGCATGTTGAAATAGAGCAGAAGGTTGGAGTTTTTGTTAATATTTCCAGTTTCTGTTGTTTTATCATTGTGGCACTACCCAGTCGTGTTAAGTCGACCAGGTGATATTTTCATGAGAATGCTTGATATGAACTTTAATTTGCACATAACAATGTTGTAGTTGTAGTTGAACACCCCATGACCTTTTGCGATCCAGCATGCTGTCAGCTTGTCAGACTAGTTGAAGAAATGGTAACACAGATCACAGACATGGCCCTAAGCCCTTTACGCCTGCAGGGATATGTAGGACACCAAACATTGCTCTCTCTCTCTCTCTCTCTGCTCGGCCTTTTGAAAAGATCAGAAACAGACGTTTCACATAAATATGAATTTACTTGAAATGAGTGTCTATTATAGTGAATAGGCCTAGTTTAATAGCCCAACTAAAGATTCTGCATGTTAGATTTAGTACGATACTGGTATGAGTGCATGTTGAAATAGAGCAGAAGGTTGGAGTTTTTGTTAATATTTCCAGTTTTTGATGTTCAATTTATTGAAAAACAATACATTTAACAGATTTCTGCTTGGAGTGTCAGCATGCCCTCCACTAACATGATCTTACTGGTTCAGTTCATCATTACAAAATCACCATGACCTCTCTAATTTCAGCATATATCATACGCCTCTTCATCTCGCTTTCTGTTTGAAAAAATAACCCTAAAGTAGATGGATATTTCATCAATCCCTTGAATTATTTATGATGAGCAGGTCTGCAGCCTCAATATTACAGAAGATCGACAGAAACATTCTAAACATAGTATTCAGCTGTTTTCATCAATTCCCACAGTGATACAGCTTCCAGGCTGAATCCAGATTAATTTCTTCCTTAAAATATTTTATTCATTACTGCCTTGGCTGCCTCACAGGATTTTGAGGTTCCACCGGTTTGACGTTTCACTGGTAATGAAATCCATGAGTACTATATCAGATGAATATAACTTATACAGCATACACTATTAAACATGACATGTTTGGCACTTTTCCTGGTAATGTGTTTTATTTGAATAAATGTAAAAGTTAACATAATTGTGCATTGTGTTGTGAGACATTACATGTCAATACAAAGTCTTTCTTAGCTTTTTCATCATTTTTATTAACAGTGCTGGTGTAGAGAGAAGAGGAAACGGAGGGGGAAATGGGATCAGCAAACAATGCAAGCCGCTATGATAACGATAAGTATGGAACATTTTTGTATTTAAATGATTGTGTTGATAGATGGATAAGTTAAGTCCTATATAGTTCACCCATAATTAACTGCAAGAGGACAAGCATTCTGATTCTGCATTTTCAAAACAACTCCTAAGACCAAATGTGTACTAAAATTTATATCCAGCTCATTTTATATACATATTCTCTTTTTCTGCTTTATAATTGCACTCTAATGCATTACCACCTCCTCTTCAGTTAGCTCTCCTTTGCTGATGAATGTCACAGAGGGCAATAAAATGCATAACCAATTAATAGTTATTTTTGGCCCTTTGGGTAAAAATGTGCATTGAGGAACTTGGTTTGATCTCACTATTAACTCACACACAGGGATGCACAACAAAATCCCTAGTCTAGAGGCACATTAAAGGCCTAATTTCTATTACATTGTGCCTGTAAGGGAAATTTATGCTTTATTTACGCATTCTAAATGAAAAGTGATAAAAGGACGGGGAAGTAAAACACAGAATAACAAACAAATGTAACAGCAGATGTATTATTGTATACCTAGAGGCTCTGAGGTATGATAATTTAAAGCACATGATGGGAGAGTCTTTAGGGATCAAATCTCTTTTGTTTCTATCTAATTCTCTGATTAAGTATTCATAACACAATGCATGATAGCCTCACTATGGCACTCATGAAAACGCAGCAGTTAATTTTCAGGGGTTAAGAATGATTTTTTAGTGTATAAGATTACATTTGCAATTTGTTTTAATGTTGCAGCTAATGTCATTTTTGTATGAAAATAGCGCTTTTTCCATAGATGAGGAATGAAGTCACGGTACTTAAGTTCACAAGACCATATCAATCAGTGGACAAGGCTATTAACACTAAGAAAGCTTTCAGACCAGCAAAGCAATTAACATAAGCTTTTAAAGGGTCAAAACTTGATGTTTGAGAGTTCATGTCTTGCGTTTATAAGCAATGCAGATAAGACTGACGTGAAGATGGCTCAATAAGGAATATTCTTGCCAGATTTACCTGATTTATTTATTGCCTTTGACCTGAATTGATTCTATTACCATACTGTTAAAAGATAAAAGGCCAAAAAAGCAACACCGCACATGCTCTAAAATATTAATAGACTCATAAATATCCATGGGAGATGTGCCTATAGCAGAGGATATAGCAGAGATTCATTGGGAGCCACAAACCCATGACTAACTATGTTAATATAGTACAATGTAATGTTTTTAAGGCCCTCTGACCCACGCATCACACGTATTTGCGAGTCTGCGGTCAGTCCATCCCCAGTTGCAACTACAGGCAATGCTCCGGAACAAGCAAGACTGAATAAATAAAGAGCCATTCACACAGGATATGTTTACATGTTAAAAAATCCCTATACTGCAAATGAATGGGAAAAAACCAGGACATAACAGTGTTAGTCTATGTATGCATAAAATGTTAACAAAAAATACTGGAAATGCAAAGTGATAATATTTTAAAAGGTATTGGAAAACAATAATGTAAAGCATTTAAATTATCATTAGGATGCTTGTCTCAGCTATATTAATATATGTGATTAATCAGCATTTCATGCAATTAATTTGATTACATATTTGAATCACTTGATACTTAATTAAGAGTTATTTAAATTCAATATTAATTCTGTATAAACACAAAAGCAGTTGATGGACAGTTATAGTTTAATGTGCATATGCATAGGGCCTTATATATGCATAAAAGACTATAAAAGTTCATCAGGTGATGGACTATTTGTGTGGGCGCATTTTCTATTTTTTTTAGAAAAGTGTGGTTTTGCTTTTATCTCCCATGACATCATCTTTTAGCGTGGGTCAGTCTTGCCACTTCCTTATCTGAGAAGATGTTTACTTCCTGCCTTTCGCTGACATTATGCTAGACAGAGCCACTCAGTGGAAAAAACAGACCTTTCTCTCCTAAACATCCAGCACGTAAGATGTGAATTGAAAGCATCTGTGGAAGTAGGGCTTTATAATCTCATAAATTTCTATCGATCGGAGCAAGCAGATTAAATGTTCTCTTTCTCTCGAACTGCACTGATGTGTAAATATCATCCCCACTAAAGATAATTCATCCTGTTGCACTTCCCAAATTTATAGCCCTTGCGCCAATGGTCTCTGATGTAATGGTATCCTCTCTGTAGCATTTATAAGTCAGAGGATGCATGCATTAACACGCCATGAAATATTCCTGCTTCAGGTTATGAAAATGCAGGCTGCTAAAACCACCTCACGGCTTACAGAATGTGTTATACTGCCGGCTATATCCAGACGCCTCTGTGTTTTCCTCTGTGTTTTGTGAGATGTCTGCTTGATGAATAATTTATCTGTGGGTATTTCAGAGCTGTGCTTCTACAACCCATGTGCCATGTGAATGAACTATTCCCAGGTGAGCAGCGGTGGCAGCTGCAATGGTGGAGTTGATTGAAAAATGATATTCTCCGAAGACCGAAGCGACGTGTAAGCGGCGGCCCTGAGTACTAGCAACACAGCCAATGAAAATAAAACAAACTGTCATTTCTGAGCGAATTTCACTGGCGTAATGAGCCAGAATAAAGTGACAGTTAAATACTGTACTTGTACTCAATCCTGACGCTCCCTGGGGCTTAACGTAAATCCACTCTGTGCCAAAATAACACCTCGCTCATCTCTCGGCACAGTACTGTCTGTTTTCATTACCGCACGAAGGGCTAAAATAGGATATTCATCTAAAAACTGCAAGTCTTTCATGCCTACAGGCAGAACTTAGTCGCTTGCACCCTGCATGTGTTAGCTGACAGCAGCAGGCACCTATTCACACATCTGGTTATACGGTTCTATTTCTGCACTCAGCTTCTTTTTTTTTTACCTGTCTGTGGTTTCCTCCTCACAGGGATCCTCCGGATTGCTCTTCACATCCTCATGGCTGCTCTTCACCTCTTCTTTCCTGGCACTGCAAGGTGAGTTGCTCTTGGGAAGCTCCTCGCTGGCTTGGAGGTGCTGGATGATGTTTTGCTGGTGCCATGATTGATCGCCTGGCCTGACATAAACAGGCGTGGGTCCAGGGTTAGGTGCCAGAATGCTGTGCACGGGGCTGTTGTTCTTGCGGAGTCCTCCTCTGTCCCGGGAGTGATTCTTCAGCCGGACCGGTGTTCCCCGGTGGTCGAAACCTTCCTGTTGGATGTAGCCTCCATTCCCAGCTGAGGTCTGAGTGCTGTGGCTGAACCAGCGCCAGCGGAGCCTGAGGATCTGCTTCACGTCAAACTCCTTTTTTCCAGACACAGACATCCTATTCGCCCTCGATGCGATGCCAGTGGCACATGGAATCCGAGGAATAACGAGGCTGAGTCTCGGCTTGAGAGGCTTCACCTCTTTTGTCTTTGTTGCCAGTTATGGCCAATAAAGGGACGGTGTCTGCAGCTTCTGCCTTGTTTCTTATTTACCCTCTTCTCCAACTCTGTCTGCTCCTTGTCCTTAGTTATAGCACACACATGATATCCTCTGCCTGTACCACCCTCCTCCCTTCCCTTTGTTGTTCTGTGTCTCTCTGCACATACGACACACACACACACACACACACACACACAACACAGAAAATTAGGAACGCTTACAGCATCCTGCTCTGATTCCAGTCGCAAATAACGAACAGCTCTTACCCAGGAAGCTGAGGTGCCAAACTGACAGGACGCAGAGGTCAAACCTTAGTGGGGAAAATCTTGTAGCACAGGAAGGAAAGCCAAAACCAGCACCATCTCCTTCCACGAGCAGCATCATCTGCGCTCGCACTCACACTCTGCCCCTTTCCTTTCTGTGTGCACACACATGCTCTTTCCCTCGCTCTAGCTCTCTCTCGCTCTTCACGCATGCACATAGACATGTCTCCTCGCACAGGCCCCCCATCTGATGGGATCCCGAGGGAGACGGTCTCAGCCTCTCAGCGAAGGAAGCCATGCAGAAAAAATATTCTCTCCCTGTCAGTCTCAAGCCGTAGTGACAGATAAACACCAAAGTGTTTCACTGTTTTGACTTCACCAGTTAGTATTTCATCTCATGTAATGTTTGTCAGTATGTGATTATGTGAACTGTGCTGTGAAATTGTGGTATGCATACATCTTTCATTGGTATATCCAAAACATTCTTTGATCTCTGAATACATCAACTTGCGAGAAATATATTCGTCGATGGTAACAAATTATTTTCAACTATTATTTTTTTACGCAAACTGAAAAAAATCCCCCTTAAACTGTATATATGGGAAAACAAATATTTATCACAATACTAATATTTGTTGAGGTTAGTATGTGATCACACTAACTTTTTTTTTTTTTTTTTTTACATCTGAGAGGTTGTGTTTATCCTATAGACTGTTAGAAATGGTAGATCTCGATGTGCTGCAATGTATGTCGTATTGCTCATTGTCTGTTTGTATCCCAGGATTTTCTGGTCTTATACTGCTGATACTGGTAATGTGCATTCATGTGCATTGCATTCAGTTGGCTGTTCTATTGCTATGCTGAAAATATGGATACCATCCCATAATCCTTTATATTGTATCTGTTATGTGAGGAGTTCCCTTTGCTTTATTCCTTAGAGTGGTGGAGGGGTTTTGAGCCTCTGACAAATTTGCAAATCAAAACATTAAAATAAAAATAAAAAGAGAGAGTCATAGGTCTTGTTTTAAGGTGATATGTACCAAATCATCAAAGCAGTAAATGTAATTTTTTTGCCCAACATCAGCTTTCATTACAATATATTTTTTTATATTTTCAATATATTCAATATATTTTTGTTGTTTTTTATTTAGATAGCAAATTTGCTTATTGTTTCAGAACTTTGTTTTAAGAATATTTGAACCAAATGTGAAATATTTTGCACCCTGTATCCTATATCCTGAGGAATTATTAATAAGAATGAGTTCCCCTGTTCACAAGACTTGAAAAATGTCTAGTATGTTAATATATACTGTATGTGCATTTATTTGTATAATGGTACTGAATTTACAAGTGAATCTGTGAAATGCCCAAAATACTACAAAAATTTCTCAAATGAAGCCATTGCTAGTTGCTCTGAATAGAAACAAAAATTGGCAAGACATCTGTCATCCAGTTTCTTGTCATTGTGGCAGATAAGATGAATTACAGGCTTGGATCTTTTTTTCTTTGCTTGAAAACTTACTATCAGTATTCATACAAGCTCAAACAATTTATATAGCTTAACATATCAATAAATTGAGGGTGAAGATTTCTCAAAGATTTACAATCAGTACCAAATATGAGGGCATACAAAGCAAACCATGTTAATTTTCAAGCTAAGATGCATTGCTTTGTATAGCATATTTTCTCTGGTACATCCAACATTTTATACTTTATATGTAAAACAATTTCAAAACTATAGAAATATCATATCAGCTTTTTATGTCTGTAACGTGCATTTAATTTTTTTCTTTCAACACATTTGCTATTACATTCTGTCCTCACTGCCCTTAAAGAGCCCTAAGTATCCAAAGTTCATATATATATATATATATATATATACAGTGGGTACGGAAAGTATTCAGACCCCCCCTTC